AAGCAAACGTTCTAGTCTATCCATCTCATGAACCTGCTGGAGGTAAAGCTTACACTTTGCACAAGTGATTGCAAGATTATTAGTCTTCAACCCCCCTACTTGCCAGACATGACCACCTACTGCTTCCGGGACATCTACTTTTGCCAGCAAAAGCTGTCGCTTGTTAGGCCCTTTGGGTGGTTGGGGTTCCTCTCTTTGGCTTCGGGGAACAAAATCATCTTTTGAGGCATATTTCAAAACAACCACAGCCCGTGACGCCAGGTAATCGCAGATCTTGGTTACTAGCCTGTCCAGGTCCTGGACCTTCCGCCCCGCTGCAGGCGATATGATGGCAGCTCGTTTGCGTGCCAACTCGTCCGCGCATTGGTTGGCCTGGTGTCTCCAAAGCTGGGAAAAGCCAAACTTCATTTCGAATTCACGGCTGGTTAGGTGGGATTTTACCCAAGTGGGCCTTATCCTACCACGGTCCTCCCAGACCGGGCCCCAAAAAACCGGGGTCGTTTTTTGAAAGGATTTTTTGGAAAGGGTCCTTAGGGCTGGCTTACAGTCCCCCGTGAGGTCGACCTGACCAAGGGTGTGTTTGATCGTCTGCACAATGGCAAAAGATTCACCGTGCGCGACGCTTGTTCCGGGGGGGGTGAGGCCAGACATGGATCCCAACTCCTGAAACTGACCGTTTTGAACCCGCCCCCACGACTACCGACCAGCTCACCCTTCGCAATCTCGGATCCTTGGTGAACATGCCCCCTGACGCGTCTGTAGCGACAACCAACCCGTCTGCTACTACCTTGGAAGACGTCAGAAACAGGCCCGTCTTGACCACTTCTAGGTCCCCCAAGGGAGCGACTGGGAGGTATTTAAGGGGAAGCATACCCCGAAGCCACAGGCAGTCCTCTGGGAACCGGCGCTTCTCCGCCAGAACGTTCCCCGGTCCGCATGCCACCAGGGAAGGAAGGGCACTTCATACATGAGGTGGCGCAAGGTGGTTCCGGAATCACCACAAAACTTACAGACATCCTTGCCACCGTTGCCATTATGGAGAATGGACCCTTGGAAGACCGCCCGGTAAGCGTACCGGGTAGTTTTGGTGCGCACTGACTTGAGCAGGCGACGCGGGACCGTCCAGTCGACCCCTCCACCAGCACCCGCTGCCGAAGAGGCCGATCCCATGCGACGAGACCTCTGTCTGGGTCTTGATGATGCCCGTGAGGAAGGACGAGGTTTGACAGACAATCGAAACCTCAGAAGGCTTAATCTCAAGAACACGTTCCTCGAAAACCCAGCGTGAAGGATCGTGGCCGTCGACCTGGAGGTCGCGGAGGTACTGGCACATGGCCGAGATGGGTCCGGTGACCACGGACCAGCCATGCTTCGCGGCCTCAGGATCCTGGACCTCGTGGGCTGTCATATCTAGGATGGTATCCGTTGAACCGTTTCGGCTCCTGCCTGCGTGTCGGGCCACCGCTGCGCGCATGGTTTTCATATGTTTAGGGGCGACCCCCTGTGCTTCATGGCCATAAAGACCCGAGGTGACCACACTAGAACGATGCCATGATGCAACCGTAGCCGGACACGGCGTGACGGGATGCGAAGCTTACCCAGCTTCAGGTTACGGAGGCCACCTACCCGAAAGCGTTTTTGGGCTGTAGTTGTCCTACGCCGGCGTCCACTGCCACTGTCAAGGCCTAAATCCTTGACCACGTCGACTATGTCGGGGTCTCCTGGCCGCAGCAGCTTTCGCAGCGCCGCGGCCGATCGGGGTGTTCCGGCCACAAGTTTCGTTTTCTCTTGGCTGAGGACGAGACCTTCAGCCTGGAGACTGGACTTGAGCACTCGAAAGGCTTCATAAGCCGCTCCCGCGGCTATATCCGGCGAGGCATGGAGGGAATCTGCAGAAACATCGCCCAACCATACATCGCAATGATCCAAGCCTGTGACTCGTTTAAGTCTATGTAAGGGTTCAGACATGGTAAGCTTGGCCAAGGTGGGAGCGTACGGGCATCCCTGGATCATGCCCCTTCCTGGGAAGATGGTTGGACTAGGCTGGGATTCCCCCACCACCGTGCGACCTCCTTGGTAGAGGCGAAGGGAGAGGCACAGGGCCAAGGCTGGGAAGGACAACCGCAAGCCTTGTTCACAAAGCCTCTGCCAGGAAACGCTGTCGTAAAACCCATTAATGTCTACGAACAACGAGACAGTGTGCAGGCCCTTGACTCTGGCAGACTCTTTAGAGCATTTCCTGGCCAGGGCAACGTCCAACGAGGTGCGGCCTGGAATCGCCGAATCAAAAGGGTGATCAGGAATGTAAGAGTCCAGCCACTGGCCGACCAAGAAACGCCGAGTCTTACACCAAAGCCGCCATAGGACTGATGTGAGACCGATAGGTCTTTCCTTCAAGGCACTCTTGGCCAGAAGAACAATCTGGACCTGGGAAACTTGGAGGGGAATGACAAGGTCCTCCTCCATTTTGTTGAAGACTTCGGCTAGGATTGCATACGCGTCCCGAGGCAGATCTCGGAGATCGTTGAAATCCCAGCTGTCCGGGCCTCCTTTTTTGGGATTTTTTGCGGCACATACCTTGGCGACGGAGGCAGCAGAATGTTTGGGCAGGGAACGGACCTGCTCCCGGGCCAAGTCACATAAGGCATCCCATACTTCCCCCTGGAGCGGGGCTGGCGACACCAGGTTACCCTGCCAGACCTCACACCAAAATTCTAGCCGTTAAAAGGGCCGCGCCAAGGGGGTGAACTCCCGATACGGCCGTTCCAAGGTTTGCTCATCAGCTCGAAGGGAGCGGTAGAGAGGGCGGAGGTGATCATTTTGCGCCTCTTCCAGCCACTTGGAGTAGGACTCGGAATTCTGGGAGGTCTGGGAGGCCAGAGCTTCCTTATATTTGGCCTCGACCTGGGGCACCAACTCCCGGGTGAGGCTGCTGCGATCATCAGCGTGAACCCAGTCCTTTAGGACGGGAAGAAGGGGGTCGTCCGGAGGGATGGAGGCGAAGGCCTCTGGGGATTTAGGGACCATCCCAGTCTGAAGCCAGGTGCGCCATCTATCCCAGATGGCCATAGGCCCTCCCGTCCAGGCACCTCCCCCCACGGGGTGTGAGGCCAACGGCCGGCGGGGAAGGTCGACCCACCAGCCTTTACCTGTAGTGGCCTGTGCATCAGACTGAACCAACTTGCGTGGAAGGCGGAGGGAGCCGGGGACACCACCGACCTGATGGTGGGGACTCTCAGCTGAAGAGAGTGCACTGGCACGTCCAAAGTTAGAAGTCCGTGAGGCTTGAAAGGAGTGTCAAACGACAGCCGGACCGTCGACAGGGACTGAAGACTGGGGTGGACGACAAAGAAGTCAATCTCGGACTCCCCTCCTGCCGTAGGAGACCCACTGCCCACCACTCGGCCCTGCCACCTTTCCTCGTACCTGGAGTTAAGAAAGTCCTTGATCGGAACGTTAAAGTCCCCCCCAACCACCCACATGCCTTGAAGGAGGGACAAGTGTTGGGTAAGGTTGGACAGGATGAGATCATTGACTGGGCTATCCAAGCCAGTCCCGCTCTCCAGGTACAAGGAGATCCAATTGAAATCTACCCCTTTGGAGCGCAACGCCACAATAACATAGCCACATCCTTGCGAGGCGTGGAAAGTCACTAGGATCCTGGGTCCCAAGTGATTTTTTACTGCAATCCCTACACCTCCTAAGGGGTTCCCTTTGGCACTTTTCGGGCTGGCAATACCAAAGAGCACAAACCCTAGATTCATCAGGTGTCGGGTCTCACTCTTCAGGTCCTCTTTGTTAAGGTGAAGTTCCTGCAGCATAAGAATGTCCGGGGACAAGGTGTGGGCCCATTTTCGGTGACTCGACCGCCATCGTGTGACATTGGCCGAACAGACCTTGAGATTCCTAGGTTCAGCTTCGCAAGAGTTTGCCGAAAGATCCTCCGAACCTCGAAGGACAAAAACCCAATCACTTGGGCTTGGGCTGGGGGAAGCAAGGGCTTGAAACATTTTGTGGGCCACCAAATACTCCAAAGTCAAGGGGTCGGTGGGTTCGTCACCTTCGAAAAGGCCAACCATACTAGACTCCACAAATTGAAAGCCCTGCTGAAAACCCCAAGACACCAACCCCGCTAACTGGCCCCACTTGTCCGTCTTTTCATGCGGCGCCGTGGTGCTCCAGGCTGCGATAGCTGAATCCAGAGGTTCCCTAGCCTTAAGAGGCCGGGCCGTCCTGTTTCGACGTCGTCGAGTTCGTCTGCTGCGACAAGACGACTGGGTACCTGTGGGTCGATATCCACCTCCTAAGACGAGGGGCGTGAAAGTACGTGGGGTTTCATACAACTGCATGTCGCACAAAGCCTCCAGGGGAAAATGCCTCGGCCCCGTCACCAAGGGATGGTGGACCACCTCATATTGGCATAGCTCTGCTAAAGAAATTGGCACTGGTGAGGGATCTTTGGCTGGTACACATTCCGCTCCAAGCGAAACCTGCCCCAACCCTAAATCCCACTCCTTCTGGAGGGGCTGACCCTGGCACATGCCACACAGAACCGCATGTCTAGATGACCGGGTGTAACTTGAAAGCTCAACCAGGCAACTCTGACACGCAGGCACCATGGCACATTCATGGGAGGCCCATCCTCGGCACAGCCGACACAAAACTGCAAGCGCGAGACCATCCCCAACCTGGAAAAGGGTGTGACACGGGTCCTCCCCGGCCTGACACCTGCAGACCTCACAACAGCTGAGGCTGAAGACATCTGCTTGGGAAGGGGAATGGCAAAACGTCTCGGGCAAGGTGACAAAATTTTGACCAAGGGGAAAAACACGAGAGGGACGATTTGGACAAGTGCGGGGAAAACAGGTTATCCCTGGAATCCAAAACCCCCAACGCCCTACACTCCCCGAACCCTGCCCCCTAACCCGTCTGCGATGCCTGACCCGGGGCTTGACCCCCCACTGGTCCCCCTGGCGGGGTCCGGCTGCGGCCTCTTGCTGCTAGGTCAGGCAGAACCGAGGCCTGCGACGGTGGTAGACCCGGGGGAAGGCCTGGATCGACCTGCATGCGTCTGCGCTTGGCTTCATCGGACTTAAGAGCTTCCAGCTTCCTCTTCTGCTCTTCGGTAAGAGCATGCCCCAAGCCTGCAGGACAGATTCCACCCCATTGTTGACCTCTTCCGCGCAATGCTTGAGCACCTTGTCTTCATATTCCTTGGTGGTCTTAGCGACTTCCACCTTTGCCTCTTCGATGGCATTCTGGATGTCCTGCATCTTGTGAAGCATCGCTCGCAAGTTGTCCTTGGCTGTGTCGATCTCCTCCTGCAGTCTCAGTTTCCTTTGACCCAGATCACGGAGCTTGCCAACCGAACTGCGAAGAACATCCCCAGCCTCTTTGCCCTCCTGACGAGGGTCCGGGGTTGGGGTGGCCGGCAAGGCATCCACGATGACCTTGGGAAGGTCTCCGACATGCTGCTGCAGGAGAGCAACAAGGTCCACATCCTCTGTGCGAGCAGGCTGGGCTTCAAACCCTGCTTCCTTCAGCTGCACACAGGCCTCTTCCGGAAGGGTATCCCATACCTTTCGCAAGCAGTCGTGAACCTTGTTGGGCTTAGGCTTGCGAGGTCGGGGCTTCGGCTCCGGCTTGGACCAGGTCGTTGGCCACTTAGTTCCACACCACTGACACTTGGGGAACTTGGGCACCTTTGCCGCGAAGATCCAACTGGCCGGGCCACACTTCTTGCAAACGTGATAACGTCCACCAGCCATGGTGGCTGTGAAGAGGCCCCAAGCCCTAAAGGCTGGGCTCAGATGTTGGACTTGTTGAGTTCGGCACACCACCTCTGCCGGCGAGCCTCCGACAAAAGTTTCCCGGCGTCGGCAATCCAATCGTTCCGGGTCTTGGACCAGCGAGCCAAAGCACGGAGTTGGTTTGTTACCCTCTGCCCCGGCGTGAGGTCACGGGCACTGGGCTGTTCCTCAAACTCGGCTTGCAGATAGGACCTGATCGAGTCCTCCAAGGGCACCCTCTCGGCTACCCCAAAGCGCTGCACCTCAGGGGTGCGGGATCGCTCTCTTCCCGCCGTGGGTTTGGAGGACCGCAGCCCTAAGGCCGGGGGAAAACAGGCCCGAGCCCTGAGGCTGGGTGAGTGCAGTGCAGCCGCAGCCCTGAGGCTGTGTGAGTGCTATGCAGCCACAGCCCAGAGGCCGGGTGGGTGCTCAGGCACAGTATGGCTCAAGCGAATAGGCCGAAAACAAAGGGGGCCTGGCGCCCAGAACCCAGGTTCACAGCTACTCGCTCAGCTACTTCGCCTACCCCACCGGGGTTTGAGCAGAAACTTGAGCCAGGTGAATTTTTCTTCAGCAAACGCCAAAGCGTTACCCAGTGGGCGTCCATCATGCAAATGAATTCACCCTGAGCCCCTAAGGGGCGAGACATAGTCTCTCGGGCTGGTCGGCCAACCTGCTACGGCAAACCTCAGCTCAAGGCTGGGAGTGTGGTGCACCCACTACTACCTACAGGCGCCTATGACACAGTTAAGAGGCTCTGACCGCTAGTAGAACAGGTCAGATGGAGGACTGTGGCTTTCACTCGTCCGAGTCGCCAGCTGTACAAAGCACTTCGCTTTTCCTACTCCTCTCATCGTACTGACCATAGCCCAAGCAAAAGACCTGCTCCCAGCAGCTAGTCTGTGTCCATCTCATCAGAGGAAGGAATTCTCGAAACCGCAGCCCCGAGGCTGGGAATCCATGGCATAACAGCACCCGCACAGGAGCACAAGCGACTGTCATGCACTGATGCCTCAGCCTTTAGGCCTGGGTTGACACAGCCAACGAACTTCCTAGCCTCACGCCCAAACAGCCAAAGGGGGTCCTCTACCTCACCTTACACAAAGCAGCAGCCCCTCAATTTGGTACCTTTAGCGCGGGGCCCACGCACTCCCCTCAACCAGGCGCAGGGAGCGACGCTTTCCCTTCAACTAACTACGTGCAGGCGCAGGGAACAACGCCCTGCTAAACTTTCTGCAAGAAAAGTGGCTGCATCCACCGTCAGCGAGCAGACAGCACTGCCAAGTACCTACCCTAAAACCAGCCCTAAACCCAGGGCACCAGCGGCAGGCAACTGGCCGAGAACGAAACGCGCTCTAATTAGGCGAAAATCCAAAGGCGAGCAAGGAACCACAAGCTCCCTCTGTGCCAGACACTCTGCTGGCACTTGCTTGGGGGCATCTGCATGGTTAGGGGAAAAAAGGGAGCCTCAACACAATTTGCGAGGGCCGGGTTTAGGATGCACCGCAACCCCCATGGTCCCTGCAGAGACTAATGGAAGGGACCAGGGCCAACAAGCCTCACAAGGAACCCCAAATCACTGAAGCGAAGACCATGAGAGCCCAGGCTGGCCGACCTCACGACACCACACGAGGGTAGGCCAGCCTGTGAGGAGTGCCAGCCTGTGAGGAGTGCTTGCCAGATTTCGGCCGATACCTCAAACTGCCAGCTAGGCCCTGAGAAGGCCACTTCTGATGTGCAAACCACAGCCTCAAGGGCGGGGTAGTTACACCACAGCCTAGAGGCGGGGACAGATGGGGTCTGGATAGAAGTGGCACAACAGAGTACAGGACAAACCTTCCTGCAAAGGTGCTCTTAAGCGGCAACTGTTGTATGACCAATCTGATCGGCGCGGTTAGTCACAACTCAGCCCGTTCGCCTTCAGGAGAGCTGCTTCCGCACGATAGACCAGCCAAAACTAGGTGAAAGTTGCACAGCAATTCAAGCAAATCGTCAAGACAAGTAAAATCAAGAAAACAGGGCACCACTATGGCAAACTAAGGCTGGCGGCCACGACAGCACTGAAGGCCTGAGCACTACGCCTCCTAGCTGGAGGGGAAGCGATGCCCACCTCCCACCTGGAGGGGATGTGGTGCCCACCTCCCAGCTGGAGGGGTTTGCCCAGTAGCTCAAGGAAGGGTGCAATGCAGAACCACAGCCCCACGGCCGGGTAAAAGCTCTGACACGATATGGCTCGGGCGAATAGGCCAAAAACAAGGGGGTCCAGTACCTTAACTCAGTTGAGGCCCGAAACCCAGGTTCACAGCTACTCGCTCAGCTACTGTGTGCACCCCACCGGGGTTGAGCCGAAACCTTGAGCCAGGTGAATTTTTCTTCAGCAAGCGCGAAAGCGTTACCCAGTGGGCGTCCATCATGCAGGTGAATTTTTCTTCAGCAAGCGCGAAGCGTTACCCAGTGGGCGTACATCATGCAAATGAATTCACCCGGAGCCCCTAAGGGGCGAGACATAGTCTCTCGGGCTGGTCGGCCAACCTGCTACGGCAAAACCTCAGCTCAAGGCTGGGAATGTGGTGCACCCACATACTACCTACAGGCGCCTATGACACAGTTTAGAGGCTCTGACCGCTAGTAGAACAGGTCAGATGGAGGACTGTGGCTTTCACTCGTCCGAGTCGCCAGCTGTACAAAGCACTTCGCTTTTCCTACTCCTCTCATCGTACTGACCATAGCAGCCCGAAACCGCAGCCCCGAGGCTGGGAATCCATGGCATAACAGCACCCGCACAGGAGCACAAGCGACTGTCATGCACTGATTCCACAGCCTTTAGGCCTGGTTGAACACAGCCAACGACATTCCTAGCCTCACGCCCAAACAGCCCAAGGGGGTCCTCTACCTCACCTTACACAAAGCAGCAGCCCCTCAATTTGGTATCTTTAGCGCGGGGCCCACGCACTCCCCTCAACCAGGCGCAGGGAGCGACGCTTTCCCTTCAACTAACTACGCGCAGGCGCAGGGAACAACGCCCTGCTAGACTTTCTGCAAGAAAGATTTCGAAACCCCGAAGACTGCTCCCAGGGACCTGCTGACTGCTCACTGGGAAAGGGCCAAAACGAACCAAATGGACCCACGCAGTAAAGGGACCTTCCCTGGCTGCTGCAAGCAAGGGAAGGGAACCCACTGCCCCTGTAAAACCCCAGACTGTTTCAAGGGAAGGGCCAAATCAGGACTCTGGGCCCCACGGCACGCCGACCCGTATGATCTTTGGTGCCAGCAGGCCAACTTTTTCGAAAAGTGCTAAAAAGGGATTCAGGGCAGAAAACCTCGACAAAAGCCTATGCCAGCAACAGCATGTTGCATTTTTTGCCTCTGCGCTACACCCTAAACCCCAAAAGAGAAAACACCGGAACAAAAGGGACAGAATCCGGACAACAAGCCAAAAAAGCTCATCACCCTTGCAATCTCGCACAGCGAAGAAGAAGGAGTGACCATTGGCCTGCACCTCGCGAGCCTGCAATTAATGCCCAGTGAGGAGACGAGATACAGGTCCTGAGCTGCCTGGAAAGCCCCATGGTGCGCTTATCCCATACCTGGTGGTAGGGCGAAGGCAGGCAGTCCAGGCAAGGAGGGAAAGTGACTCAGCCGGCTGCATCCACCGTCAGCAAGCAGACAGCACTGCCAAGTACCTACCCTAAAACCAGCCCTAAACCCAGGGCACCAGCGGCAGGAGCAGTCACAAGGTCTGAGAAAAGGACTACTCTCTGCCGCCGGCGCATAGGCCTGCAGGGAAGCCCCAGACAACCCTGCAGAGGGCCTAAAGCCACTGCCTCATCTCAAAGTGAGGCCATTACCAAACGCATCCTAACCAAAAAGCTTAACGTCCTCCGCACATGGGCAACTGGCCGAGAACGAAACGCGCCGCAACCATCTAATTAAGGCGAAAATCCAATGGCGAGCAAGGAACCACACAGCTCCCTATGTGCCGGACACACTGTTGGCACTTGCTTGGGCGCATCTGCATGGTTGGGGAAAAGCCAGCCTCAACACAATTTGCGAGGCCTGGGTTTAGGATGCATCACAACCCCCATGGTCCCTTCAGAGACTATTGGATGGGACCAGGGCCAACAAGCCTCGCAAGGAACCCCCAATCACTGAAGCGAAGACCATGAGAGCCCAGGCTGGGCCGACCTCACGACACCACACATGGGTAGGCCTGCCTGGGAGGAGTGCTGTGCCAGATTTCGGCCGATCAAATTGCCAGCTAGGCCCTGAGAAGGCCACTTCTGATGCGCAAACCACAGCCTCAAGGGCGGGGCAGTTACACCACAGCCTAGAGGCGGGGACAGATGGGGTCTGGATAGAAGTGGCACAACAGCGTACGAACCTTCTTGCAAAGGTGCTTTGAAGCGGCAACTGTAGTATGACCAATCTGATCGGCGCGGTTAATCGCAACTCAGCCCGTTCGCCTTCAGGAGAGCTGCTTCCGCACGATAGACCAGCCAAAACTAGGTGAAAGTTGCACAGCAATTCAAGCAAATTGTCAAGTCAAGTAAAATCAAGAAAACAAGGCACCACTATGGCAAACTAAGGCTGGCGGCCACGACAGCACTGAAGGTCTGAGCACTCACGCCTCCTAGCTGGAGGGGAAGTGATGCCCACCTCCCACCTGGAGGGGATGTGGTGCCCACCTCCCAGCTGGAGGGGTTTGCTCAGTAGCTCAAGGAAGGGTGCAATGCGGAACCACAGCCACACGGCCGGGTAAAAGCTCTGACACGATATGGCTCGGGCGAATAGGCCAAAAACAAAGGGGGCCCAGTACCTTAACACAGTTGAGGCCCGAAACCCAGGTTCACAGCTACTCGCTCTGCTACCTGTGCACCCCACCGGGGTTGAGCCGAGACCTTGAGCCAAAATGGCTACGGAGGTGAATTTTTCGTCTGCACGCTGCGAGGCGTAGCCACCCGAAGGGGCTGTGGGTTCAAGTGAAACAAAAGCTTACTAAAACTGTGGGGTGAAACTGCCGGTAAGTTCCCCCTCTCATTCCTTGTCCTCGGTTTTGGCGTACCGCTACCCTCAACCGTAGTGAGGCCGGAATGTCGTTTTGACCAAGTCGTTGCCAGTGGCTCGAAGACTTTGGCCAAGGCAAGTTGCCTGTATGCTTGCACATTCTCTGCGTTGTCTATTCGGGAGGTGATCCATGCCCTCGTTCGTGGAGGCCGCTATCCCTCAACCGAATGGAGGTCAATTCCTGTAGACCCAGATGCTCGTTCTACGATTCTCATTGCATGTCCTCAGTGCTTCCATCCACACCCCTCAACCGTAGTGAGGCCGGACATGTCTTCAAACCAGGTCATGGCCCAAGGCTTCATGGACTCTGGTTACGGTGGCTGCCTCTTGCATGCACAGGGCATACTTCCTGTGGCTTTTGCCGGGAGGTGATCCATGCCCTCCGATTCTCAGAGGCCGCTATCCCTCTACCAGCGGGGTGGTCAATCCCCATAGACCGTTCCGATTGAGGCCCAATTCTGACTTTCTCGTCATCTCACCTTGACGGATCCATGCCCTCGATTCACACATCTCCAACACGGGCCAAGCAGGAGGACCAGGTGAAGTACCTGCCCAAACATACCCCTTTTTAGGCTGGAGGACGCTAAGCGACCGAAATCGCCGCTACGCACCGGTGACCCCACGCCACACACCTTCAACAGGTGGCCGGTACAGGCGCCTGACAGGGGGCCGGGCAAGGTGCCGACTACCAGGTCAAACCCACCCTCCTGTGAGGGTATTATGTACGAGGCCGCTATCCATTGTGAGACTTGACTTTCTCCAATCCAGCCGTAGCATTCAGCTGGTTCTTTGGTTTGCCACCAAAACTCCATACTCTCACTTGGGAGTCGATTACCCTCAACCGAAGCGAGGCCCACTCTGCTACCACGGATTAGCTGCTTGCTTGGTCCTTGTGGGCATTGCTGAAAGCAGTGACATCGACGCCTCCACGGAATACGTCCCGGCTAATCCAGGGTTCTCAGCAGCTCCGGTGTTCTCGCACTTACTAACCGTGCCTTGCTGTTCTCCCCAGAATCGCCCTGGCTTTCTCGCGCTTACTCCCCAGTCGACATATTCCTCGCCACAAAGTTCACTGCCCATTGGGACTGGAGGCTTCTCCATTGCAATGCTGGTATCTGCCTTTTGCTGGCCTCCATGCCTGGCCAGTGTCCCTCATCCATATTCTGGAGTTTGCTCTTTTATCCATGGCTCACATTCCCTCAGACCAAAGTCGAGGCCGAATGATTGCTTTGTTTGATGAGCACTGCTGGGCTGCGGTTGTCTCCTATCAATTGCTCCGACACACCGGCACCGCGGAGTCTATGCTTCAAGCTGCTTGACCGCTTGGCGCCCAGTGGCATCAGCATTCAAGCTGCATGCAGTGCTTCCAGAGTCTCCAAGACTCAATTCCGGCAGACCAATCAGTGCCCGGCCTGCCCATTCCATCATTCTCCCTCAGCTGATGCGAGGCCGGAACATCCTGCACCGTTCTTCCTCAGCGAGGCGTTTTCGCAACCCTTCTGTTGTTCCCTCAGCCGTGGCGAGGCCGAACCGTCCGTTCCCTCAGCCGAGGCGAGGCGAACCTTTACTCCAGCATAGCGAGGCCGAAACTGCCCTTGCATAGCCTCACATGGTATCTCCGCTGGTTTCACGGGTTCTGAAAGCATTGTGCTGCGAGGGTATGTTGATCACCCTCATTCCGGCAAGCTAAGCCTGCATTCGGGTTTGCCCTCGCATGGCCCTTAATGGCGAGGCTGCGCTCGCAATTCAATCCACTTCCACTTGCCTGGTTACTGGCCGGCGACGTTCCATCACCTCAAAGGAGCATCCATTCCTCATCATCTTCCGACAAGGCCAGCATCCGAGCGACTGGGAGGTATTTAAGGGGAAGCATACCCCGAAGCCACAGGCAGTCCTCAGGGAAACGGCGCTTCTCCGCCAGAACGTACCCCGGTAACCGCATGCCACCGGGGAAGGAAGGGCACTCATACATGAGGTGGCGCAAGGTGGTTCCGGAATCACCACAAAACTTACAGACATCCTTGCCACCGTTGCCGTTATGGAGAATGGACCCTTGGAAAACCGCCCGATAAGCGTACCGGGTAGTTTTAGTGCGCACTGACTTGAGCAGGCGACGCGGGACGGTCCAGTCGACCCCGCCACCAGCACCCGCTGCCGACGAGGCCGATCCCATGCGACGAGACCTCTGGGTCTTGATGATGTCCGTGAGGAAGGACGAGGTTTGACAGACAACCGAAACCTCATAAGGCTTGATCTCAAGAACACGTTCCTCAAAAACCCAGCGGGAAGGATCGTGGCCGTCGACCTGGAGGTCGCGGAGGTATTGACACATGGCTGAGATGGGTCCGGTGACCACGGACCAGCCGTGCTTCGCAGCCTCCAGCCGCTTCCAGACCACTCTCCAAGTGTCCTGTGCTGCCTCCCAGCCCATGCGGTTGCATCTGGCCATCATCCTGAAGAGACTTTCCACGTGCTGGGTCACCACAATAAGGTAAGGATCCTGAACCTCGCGGGCTGTCATATCTAGGATGGTATCCGTTGAACCGTATCGGCTCCTGCCTGCGTGTCGGGCCACCGCTGCGTGCATAGTTTTCATATGTTTAGGGGCGACCCCCTGTGCTTCATGGCCATAAAGACCCGAGGTGACCACACTAGAACGATGCAACCGCAGCCGGACACGGCGTGACGGGATGCGAAGCTTACCCAACTTCAGGTTACGGAGGCCACCTACCCGGAAGCGTTTCTGGGCAGTAGTTGTCCTGCGCCGGCGTCCACTGCCACTGTCAAGGCCTAAATCCTTGACCACGTCGACTATGTCAGGGTCCCCTGGCCGCAACAGCTTTCGCAGCGCCGCAGCTGAGCGGGGTGTTCCGGCCACAAATTTCGTTTTCTCTTGGCTGAGGACGAGACCTTCAGCCTGAAGACTGGACTTGAGCACTCGAAAGGCTTCATAAGCCGCTCCCGCGGCTATAACCGGCGAGGCATGGAGGGAATCTGCAGAGACATCGTCCAACCATACGTCGCAATGATCCAAGCCTGTGACTCGTTACAGTCTATGTAAGGGTTCAGACATGGTAAGCTTGGCCAAGGTGGGAGCGTACGGGCATCCCTGGATCATGCCCCGGCCTGGGAAGATGGTTGGACTAGGCTGGGATTCACCCACCACCGTGCGACCACCTTGGTAGAGGCGAAGGGAGAGGCACAGGGCCAAGGCTGGGAAAGACAACCGCAAGCCTTGTTCGCAAAGCCTCTGCCAAGAAACGCTGTCGTAAAACCCATTAATGTCTACGAACAACGAGACAGTGTGCAAGCCCTTGACTCTGGCAGACTCTTTGGAGCATTTCCTGGCCAGGGCAACGTCTAACGAGGTACGGCCTGGAATCGCCGAGTCAAAAGGGTGATCAGGAATGTAAGAGTCCAGCCACTGGCCGACCAAGAACCGCCGAGTCTTACACCAAAGCCGCCATAGGACTGATGTAAGACCGATAGGTCTTTCCTTCAAGGCACTCTTGGCCAGAAGAACAATCTGGACCTGGGAAACTTGGAGGGGAATGACAAGGTCCTCCTCCATTTTGTTGAAGACGTCGGCGAGGACTGCATACGCGTCCCGAGGCAGGTCCCGAAGATCGTTGAAATCCCAGCCGTCCGGGCCTCCTTTTTTGGGATTTTTTGCGGCGCGTATCTTGGCGACGGAGCTAGCAGAATGCTTGGGCAGGGAACGGACCTGCTCCCGGGCTAAGTCACACAAGGCATCCCATACTTCCCCCTGGAGCGGGGCTGGCGACACCAGGTTACCCTGCCAGACCTCACACCAAAATTCTAGCCGTTTATAGGGCCGCGCCAGGGGAGTGAACTCCCGATATGGCCGTTCCAAGGTTTGCTCATCAGCTCGAAGGGAGCGGTAAAGGGGGCGGAGGTGATCATTTTGCGCCTCCTCCAGCCACTTGGAGTAAGACTCGGAGTTCTGAGAGGTCTGGGAGGCCAAAGCTTCCTTATATTTTGTCTCGACCTGGGGCACCAACTCCCGAGTGAGGCTGCTACGGTCATCGGCTGAAGCCAGGCGCGCCATCTGTCCCAAATAGCCATAGCCCCTCCTGTCCAGGCACCGCCTCCAACTGGGTGCGACCGGGGAAGGTCGACCCACCAGCCCTTTCCTGTGGTGGCCTGGGCCTCCGACTGAACGTCGCGGGACCATTGGCCCAAGGCAATAGTGGACTCCTCCTGAAACGCCACATCCAAGATCTGGACCAGCTGGACTGGGGAGCTTGCGTGGAAGGAGGAGGGAGCCGGGGACACCACCGACCTGATGGTGGGGACTCGCAACTGAAGGGAGTGCACAGGCACGTCCAAGGTTAGAAGTCCATGAGGCTTAAAAGGAGTGTCAAAAGACAGCCGGACCGTCGACAGGGACTGAAGACTGGGATGGACGACAAAGAAGTCAATCTCGGAGTCCCCTCCCGCCGTAGGGGACCCACTGCCCACCACTCGGCCCTGCCACCTTTCTTCATACCTGCACTTAAGGAAGTCCTGGATCGGAACGTTAAAGTCCCCACCAACCACCCACATGCCTTGAAGGAGGGACAAATGTTGGGTAAGGCTGGAAGCCAGGTGCGCCATCTATCCCAGATGGCCATAGGCCCTCCCGTCCAGGCACCTCCCCCCACGGGGTGTGAGGCCAACGGCCGGCGGGGAAGGTCGACCCACCAGCCTTTACCTGTAGTGGCCTGTGCATCAGACTGAACCAACTTGCGTGGAAGGCGGAGGGAGCCGGGGACACCACCGACCTGATGGTGGGGACTCTCAGCTGAAGAGAGTGCACTGGCACGTCCAAAGTTAGAAGTCCGTGAGGCTTGAAAGGAGTGTCAAACGACAGCCGGACCGTCGACAGGGACTGAAGACTGGGGTGGACGACAAAGAAGTCAATCTCGGACTCCCCTCCTGCCGTAGGAGACCCACTGCCCACCACTCGGCCCTGCCACCTTTCCTCGTACCTGGAGTTAAGAAAGTCCTTGATCGGAACGTTAAAGTCCCCCCCAACCACCCACATGCCTTGAAGGAGGGACAAGTGTTGGGTAAGGTTGGACAGGATAAGATCATTGACTGGGCTATCCAAGCCAGTCCCACTTTCCAGGTACAAGGAGATCCAATTGAAATCAACCCCTTTGGAACGCAACGCCACAATAACATAGCCACAGCCTTGCGAGGCGTGAAAAGTCACTAGGATCCTGGGTCCCAAGTGATTTTTGACTGCAATCCCTACACCTCCTAGGGGGTTGCCCTTGGCACTTTTCGGGCTAGCAACACCAAAGAGCACAAACCCTAGATTCATCAAATGACGAGTCTCACTCTTAAGGTCCTCTTTGGTAAGGTGAAGTTCTTGTAGCATAAGAATGTCCGGGGACAAGGTGTGGGCCCATTTCCGGTGACTCGACCGCCATCGGGTGACATTGGCCGAACAGACCTTGAGATTCCTAGGTTTAGCTTCGCAAGAGTTTGCAGAAAGATCCTCCGAACCTCGAAGGACAAAAACCCAGTCACTTGGGCTGGGGCTGGGGGAAGCAAGGGCCTGAAACATTTTGTGGACCACCAGATACTCCAAAGTCAAGGGGTCGGTGGGTTCGTCATCTTCGAAAAGGCCTACCATGCTAGACTCCACAGACAGAAAGCCCTGCTGAAAACCCCTGGACACCAAACCCGCTAACTGGCCCCACTTGTCCGTCTCCAGGCTACGATAGCTGAATCCAAAGGCTCCCTAGCCTTGAGAGGCCGGGCCGTCCTGTTGCGACGTCGTCGGGTTCTTCTGCTGCGACAAGACGACTGGGTACCTGTGGGTCGAGGTCCACCTCCTAAGACGAGGGGAGTAGAAGTACTGGGGTTTCATACAACTGCATGTCGCACAAAGCCTCCAGAGGAAAATACCTCGGCCCCGTCACCAAAGGATGGTGGACCACCTCATACGGGCATAGCGCTGCTAAAGAAATTGGAACTGGTGAGGGATCTTTTGCTGGTACACATTCCGCGCCAAGCGAAACCTGCCCCAATCCTGAATCCCACTCCTTCTGGAGGGTCTGACCCTGACACATGCCACACAGAGCCGCATGTCTTGATGACCGGGTGTATCTTGGAAGCTCCACCAGGCAACTCTGACACGCAGGCACCACGGCACATTCATCGGAGGCCCATCCTCGGCACAGCCGACAAAAAACTGCTAGCGCGAGACCATCCCCAACCTGGAAAAGGGTGTGACACGGGTCCTCCCCGGCCTGACACCTGCAGACCTCACAACAGCTGAGGCTGAAGACACCTGCTTGGGAAGGGGATTGGCAAAACGTCTCGGGCAAGGTGACAAAATTTTGACCAAGGGGGAAAACACGGGTTGTCGGGGAGAGGGACGACTCGGACAAGTGCGGGGAAAACAGGTTATCCCTGGAATCCAAAACCCCCAGCGCCCTACAAGCCCCGAACCCAGCTCCCTAACCCGTCTGCGATGCCTGACCCGGGGCCTGGCCCCCCACTGGTCCCCCTGGCGGGGTTCGGCTTCGGCCTCGTGCTGCGAGGTCCGGCATCACCGAGGCCTGCGAGGGCGGCAGACCCGGGGGAAGGCCTGGATCGACCTGCATGCGTCTGCGCTTGGCTTCATCGGACTTAAGAGCTTCCAGCTTCCGCTTTTGCTCTTCGGTAAGGCTGGCCTCTTGCATGCCCAAAGCCTGCAGGACAGATTCCACTCCATTGTTGACCTCTTCCGCGCAATGCTTGACCACCTTGTCTTCATATTCCTTGGTGGTCTTCGCGACTTCCACCTTTGCCTCCTCGATGGCATTCTGGATGTCCTGCATCTTGTGAAGCATTGCTCGCAAGTTGTCCTTGGCTGTGTCGATCTCCTCCTGCAGTCGCAGTTTCCTCTGGCCCAGATCTCGGAGCTTGCCAACCGAGCTGCGAAGAACATCCCCAGCCTCTTTTCCCTCCTGGCGAGGGTCCGGGGTTGGGGTAGCCGGCAGGGCGTCCACGATGACCTGGGGAAGGTCTCCGACATGCTGCTGCAGGAGAGCAACAAGATCCACATCCTCTGTGCGAGCCGGCTTGGCTTCAAACCCTGCTTCTTTCAGCTGCACACAGGGCACATCCGTTGGCCACTTAGTTCCGCACCACTGACACTTGGGGAACTTGGGCACCTTTGCCGCGAAGATCCAACTGGTTCACAGCTAGTTCAAGCCACACTACCAAAGCCACTACCAAGCAATAAGGAAAGTCCCGGCCAAATAAGCACCTATCACAAGCTCTCGCTCCCTTCCTTTTTGACTTTGCCGGAAATGCAGCTCAGAGTTCGAAGCACAACAAAGCAAGCAATTGAATTGCGGCAAAGCTAAGTAGACAGAGCTTACCACCACCGTGCAAGCGAATGAATTGCGTCAAAGCAGAGAACCTGAGTGAGCCATGATGATAAAACACAGGAGCAAAAACAGAACAGACCTTGACCAAGGCAAGAAAAACGAGCTCGAGGATTCTCGTGAAACGAGGCTGGCTCCAATCGCTTAGAAGACGAGCACGCCTTTGGGTTGACTCTGCTGATAGCTTGCAGGCATGGAACATGTCCCA